GCACCTTGATATAGAAGCTTAGTTATTCCTGTATCCCTAATCCGTTTTATCATTTCAAGTTCACCAAGTTCCAACTCCTTTCAGCATTGAGTTCCTAAAGGAACAAACTTTTATGCCCCGATTTATCTATATGGACAAACCAACAAAACAATCAATAATAACTTGCACAAAACTAGAAGAGAAGTTAGTTTGTCATGGCATACATTATAACTATCAAAACAACTTCTCTTTACATCCATTCACAAATAACCTTCATAAGAATAGGGAATTGAATTTCAATAAGAATTTGTGAAGGATTAATACATACCAAAAGCACATGACCAATATTTACAGAGAGATGTATAGGCGACTTACTCACTTATCCATATTGTCGCTTCACCTACTACAAACCTCTTATAAAGGCTTTCTAGTGAGAGAAACTTGCACATAATTCCTTATATACAAACAACCAAAGATCATCGTTATTAATAAGTTGTCTCTACTCACATAGCCTGCAAAATCAGACATCTTTTGGCTTTGGTTACCCAATATATATTGGGTACCTTCATGTTAGTAATAGACGTCAATAATCCATAATTAAAACAACTACGGTTAAACCAACTATCTTTACTAACAATAAACATCATGTGTCTATATAATAAATATACAGAATAATACATACACATGATAAGGTCATTCTTTGGGAAATATTCAAAATATACGTTCATTACCTTGCCCAAATTGAGTTTCCATACAGGGGTAATCCAGGTTCCAAGAGACCAAATATGCATAATTCTACACAATACGTTCCTTGAACTATTTCTAGTAAACCGATTCTTTAAAAATAAATCAATTTGTAAATCTGAAAAATACTTTTCACACTATAAATCAAATTTGAAGTTACACAAAATTGATTTAAAAACTTTGAAAACAAAATCCAAAATTTAACTAGAAATACTGCAAGAAACTTTTACACATATTATCATGCATATAATCAAGACTTCAAAGACGAGACACTTACCTCAAAGATGTTCATCTTTGAATCACTTCTGCTTCACAAGTTGGCCTTCACGTGGTATTGGGAACGTTCTAGGGTTGAGTTCCATTCGCTGCATTCCTTGTAGATATCCATCCTAGCCTGGAACTTGCTCCTCGGGGTTGCCAGGTTTATCAAGAGAACCTGGCTCTGATACCAATTGTTAGTTTAGATGAACTACTACAAGAGGGGGGGTGAATGTTAGTAGGTTCCAATCGCGGAACTTATGCGGAAATTAAAAACAAAACGTAAAGGAACTTAAAACACACAGCAAGATTTACGAGGAAACCATCCAGTGCCCAACTAGAAGTAAAACCTCGGCCCTATTGGGAGTTATAAACAAATTCCACTATAATAGGCAACTCTCCTAGTACAACCTATTACACAGACCTTTGCTTTGCAAGTTCCACCACGGACACTTGACTATATGATAGGACACCTCCTACCAGACCTAAGACACCTCTCAGGACCCTTTTTCTCCCTTAACCCGGGACACTTCCTAGGTGACCCAAGACACTTCTCAGGTTCCTTTCACTCACTGTGCAACCCAAGAAACACTCGGGGTGACTAACTACCACTCGAATTTTACGAGATTTCAAACTCATCACAAACGTGAATTTAAGAGAATTCACAATCTCACCCCAAAATACAAAACACTCAAAACCATTTTTCCCATTACAAGATCTCATTGAATATCCCTAAATACATATCTATGAATAAAGAGATAAAACTAATATGTTGAACACTCAAGATCTGTCTGGAACTCACTGAACGTACTGTAACCAAAAACCTGATAGGAACTTTGACCAGGAGGACTGACTTAGCTTCGTGGTGGAGGATAAAACCATTAAGCACGACCACTACACTTCGTCAGCCTCATCTTTGAATGAATGCATATGAGCATATTTATAGTACACTCGAAATATTCATTTCATCTTGAAAAAGATAGATTTTCTGAAAAGATAAGTTTAAAAGATATTTTCTAAAAATTAGTTTTCCGAAAATATATCTTTTTGTTAAGAATAAAAACTGTCAATAATAATAAGATAAACTTAGCATAAAATCAGATTTTATTCAAAACTTATCTTTTTGTTTAAAATACTTTTTAAACAATCTTATCTTTTTCCAAAAGGGATTTATTAGAAGATAAATATCTTTATTCAGTAAAACCAAATCCCTAAAAGATATTCACGTATAAGGTAAATATATATATCATTAAAACCGACCTTGAACGACGTGCATACTTAAGTTCCTATTAGGTTCTTGAACTCTGACAGTCTCCGAGTTCCTGACAATTCAGTTACTCTAATTTCATTGACTGTTTGGAGTCCACCTTGGTTCTATATAGACTTGTTCCAGACCGAATTTTATGTCCAACATACTTACATGAATCCTAGAGCAATATACTTCTATTTCTCTGTCTTCATGTTGCTTCTCGAAACTCTTGTTCTGGAATCCTGTAGTCTTGATATATTCTGGATCTTAGGGTTTGCCCCAGCATTACACCGGAACCAGGTCGTTACAACCCGTTTCGAAGTTCCGGTTAAGAAACTTTTGGAAGTTCCATTTTTGGAACTCTTCTTATAACTTTACTTGTATCCTCATGGATCCTCTAAAGTTCCTCTGTTTCAGTTCCTACTTCAGCCCTCAACGCTTACTGAACCTGCAAACATCACAACACTAGAAAATCCTTATTAAATGGAAGTTTGCTCAATTCTTAACATCATCATCAAAACCTCATAAGGGTCAATAAGTTGCCCCTTTTTAATGATGACAAACTGAGCAAACTTCTGAGGATAACAAAGTAACTCAGAAGGTTAGTTTTTTCATTTATAAAAACAGTAAAGAAAACCAAACTAAATTAAAAGACTCATACACATACATGACCTATATATGTATAGGATACTTACCTTATGAAGCTAACATATGCAAACACATGTTTACATAGTTACCTTCATGGTTCCTTAGCCATCATCATGCTTATCAACCATAACACTTATCGTTGTTCTTGTTCCTCTATTGCTTATCCTATATTGCTCAAGTTCCTTACATATATACCTGTCATTACTCAGGTTCCTTGTATCCTGTTCAAGCATAACTTGCTCTTTCTATGCACAACTTAACATACACGTTAGATAGATAATCATCATTAGTTTATAATCATCAAAACCTAATTGCTCAACAGTTTAGAGATGGTGCTAATAACGTGTTAAATATAGAAGAGACGATATAGAGAGATAGAAAAAAATTTTACGTTATATCTCTTATTCCATCTAGTACGGGATATATATACATGTATATTGACTAAGGTTCCATCAACGAATAAGATCAAATACTCAACTCTAGAGTATTCTAGATAATACATGGGATAATAGTCATCCACATTTAGATATTTCATAACAAAAATCACATTTGTAACTCTTCTTTTTTTTTCTTCAACACCATGGCTACCTTATGAAGCTTTAAATTTCTCCCTCAAAGTGCTCGTACCACCATTATCACAAGAATCCATCAACAAAGGGAGTAATCATATATCCAATTATTTACCACAATCCTCAATTACACTAAGTAACTTCTAGATTCGAGTTAATATTCACTCCAGAATTTCATTAACAATTTCTTCAAGGGGGCACCTCAAAGCTAAGCTACCTCCCATGGAGGTCAAACACACCTAAAAAATAAAAACCACAACTTCAACTAAGTGAAATCATCCATCATTAACACTATTTCACTAAATAAACACAAATATAATTATAATAAGCAAATTAAATATCTGAACGTCAACTATTGTTGCCTCATCATCCTCACTACTACAACAAATCAACAACAATAGGCAATTTACCTAGTTATTTTCATTTTAAAAATTGAAAAACGGTTAAAAAAAATAAAATAGGAAAGAGAAAATAAAATCAGTAAAATAGAAGAGAGAGAAAACAAAAAGGCTGAAAAAGAGGAGAGAGAAATAAAAAAAAATAGATCTTTAGAATTATTTATAGAGTTGCTTGGATAGAAAGTATTTTAAAAGAAAATTAAAAGTTAAAAGAAAATAAAGGAAAAAAAAAGAAAAAAAAAACATGCAAATTGAATGAAATGGTTTAGTATAGAGGAGGTGTAGGGAGAAATACATACCCTAGAGTCTAAGGAAAATTTTGTATATTGTATTATTGTGACCATGACATTGCCACCCCAACGAGCCTATTTTTTTTTTCCTCGGGTGATCAAAATTAATTTGTTCTCTATAAAGAACCTTGATCGTTCTTTCAAATCTATATACTCCCTCCGTTTTTAAATACTTGCTCCATTTTTATTTTTTACACTATTTATTTGTCCTACTTTGACTAATGTTTGTGATTTAAATATAAGAAAAATATAGTCTTGTGGGTATTTGTTGGAATCATCTCAATAAATAGATTATTAATTTTCAATGCTTAGAATTTTTACTTATTGGAAATTAAAGATATTAGTGATCAAAAAATTAGCATCAGCATGCGCGCCCAGCAGAAATGGAGCAAGTATTTAAAAACAGAGGGAGTACTAGTTTAGTCTTAAAGAGGACTAGCCAAAGAGAACATTCAAAGCCTCGCCAAGACCTAGCCTAACCATAAAAAACATTTGAAGCCTTAATGAGGTTACAAACCACCACGCCGGAAATAATAGATTTCCCAAATGTCACCACTCACCAATAAGACAACCCCAAATGTTCATCTACTAAATTAAATCATACAATCAATTAGATGGTACAACCGAGTATATTGTGCATCGATACTCCTAAGTGTCAATCCCATACAACATAAACATAAACATAAAGATATCACCCTCACACATAAAAATATCACCAATTAATATAAAAATCAGATTATGAATTTGTTTAACCAGATAGAAATTCAAATTAGTTCTTAGGTTTATTTTTTTTTTTTTTTTTTTTTTTTTTAAGAAAGTACATACAGTTACTTTTGTTTGATTTTTGTAAATTTTAGAATACATAGAAAACCAAACTAAAATTACTGCTTCAGAAAACGGTAAGATTACACTTGTAATGTACTAGTACTTGAAGCGTAAAAAATAATGCACTGACTTATATTTTAACTATTGTACATTTGCCATTAACATACACTTGAATTCACATCAATCGTGATGCTAATTCGCTCATGGTTGAACAGCTTCCAAAAGCTTCTCATACACTTGTCTTGCAGTAAGATCTTCAACCTAATTCAAGCATTGGATTTTTTACTATATTAGTTTGGGAACCAAAAAGTCATCAAGTTCCAATAACAATACTGTGTAACTAAAGCTTTGCAGTCCTTAGTTATCTGCTCTTTCTTTAATTTTTCTCTACTGCGAGTCCGCGATTGAACATTAGTACCTTAAAGAATAGTATGCAGCTAGACCAACCATGGTCAATTGGTCATTGCAAATTTGCATGTTCTAAACCCTTCCAACTGAAACCCACAAATAAACTAGCAAATCCAAAGTTCAACATGAATACAAAGATGAATTTTGAAGAAGCCTTCATCAATATTATTGAAGGGATGCAATTTTCTTCATTTTTGAAGTATATTCAAACACACTAGCACGTAGCAACTAGTAGCAGGGTGCCAGGGCTGATGCATTGGGTTGATGAATCAATGAACAAATGATTGCTGTGTGTTATTCTACCCCCTTTATAGACAGACATTTTCTTTGAAGTATTGAGCAACATTCATATTTAGCAAATTACATGATATAGAAACTAAAAAAAATAAAAATTAACAAAAAAAATGCCCAACTCAGAAACAGAACAAAACCAAAATTTTCTTACCACAAGGAGTTTTGATTTGTTGTTCCATCCTCTCTGAAGAGTCATCTGGCTTAACCTAAGACCCAAAACCTGTTCAAGAAAATCTTTGATGAGTATAATCATCATAATGCACTTGCAATAAATAAAAAACTATCAAAAGATAGTATACCTTTCCCATGAATTCCAGGAGCTCATTATTTGCTTCTCCACGTGCAGCAGGTGCTGCCACGGCTACTCTTACATCATCAGCATTAACTCCTGTAAGCAATCATTAAAATAAGCTAATCAGGGTCTGATATTTGTGACATCTGATATTTGTGACAGAACAAGCTATAATTATTAATGATTAGAGAGAGAGAGAGCACACAACAATAAACACTTAAAAAGAAAGCAGGCATTTCATTTAATCAATATGGCAAAAAGATGTTGAACATATAGTAGTATACAATCAGTTAGAATTATTGTTAAAATGAGGATAGCACAATACCACAGTAATTAATGTCACGTAAGCAAGTTTAAACTTCACAAGTTCATATCCTACCCTCAAAAAAAAAAAAAGGAAAAGAAAAAGAAACTTCTCCTCTCAGATTACGTTGGTGATGCATGATGAAGGAAAAATTTATTGCCCAACAGGACATCAGTGTCCTTATTTTCAGTTGACAGGAAAGGACATTAAGTACCTCTTAGGGCATGATTGGAGTGAAAATAATTCATTAATGGGGAATAGAAAGTTATAAGGGGAGATTGTATGGTGGATGAAGCAGTGAAGTATGATGAGAAAAAGGAGGGAAGAGGAGAATATTACCCACACATTGAAGGTATTAGTTGGTGAAGGTGGGTAACTATTACTCCCATTTTGAGGGTGATAATTCCTCTCTCCTTCAGTATTTCTCATAACAACATTACCCTATTCCCTCTACTGCCACCTCATCCTAGTAACAACTATCTTTACACACCTTCCTTACCCCTTAATCCAAGCATGCCCTTAAGGGTGTTATAACCATCTCTCTCTTTCTCAAGCCTCTCCTCTATCTTTCTCTTCCCCCCCCCCCCCCTCCCAAAAAAAAAAAAGAAAAGAAAAAATAATTAAAAAAAAAAGAAAAAACAAAAAAGAAAAAAGAAAAAAAAAGAGATTAGAGAAGGTGAACGAACAAATTAATTAAAGCATCACCAATAAGAGGAAGAGTTGGATTGCCAGTACATAAACTATTAGAATAACTTGTTCATTTACCTTCTTTAATCTCTTTCTTAATTAAAGTAAGTGCCTTTGGACATGTAATTGTGCAAAAAATGGATGAAGTACATAGGCACTGAAAGGAGTGACAGTGGTGAATCCAAGAAGTGGCAAAAGAAGCCTTTGAAATTATTATAATAAACCATATTTTACAAGAAAAGGCAAAGTATGATTACCTTTCTTTATTATATGGGGCTTATAATTGAGTTAAGATAATTATGAGACGGATTAGGTTACATTGTAAGGATCACATAACATGTTTAAATAAAGTCTCGTCAGGTTGACTATTGTAGCTTACTAGCTCGTAACACGTAAGCTCTAGAGTAAGGGATATAAATGTATTTATATAACTAACAACAAGTTGACCCGAGTTAACATGTAACCACCCATCTCATGCTCTCTTATGATATCTTCATGACTTTGGCACAATGCAACTTGCCACCAATTTATTAAATTCACATTCCAATCTTTTATACTTATCAAACTCAACTCACCTTATATAACAAGAAGTAAATAGAATAAGATCAAAATCAAAATCGAATTAAATCAATTTCACATTTGAATCACAGAGAAGAAGGATTAACAATGGATGCACATTCATGCTTGGCTTGATTTTGTCTTTAGGTGCTCCAAATCTAGAATACCAACTATGCATAGGGTCTAGAATCCACCAAGTTGTGGAAGAAAGAGGGAAAGTTTAGCATGTCACAAGTCTTGGTTGCTAATTTATTAAACCCCAGTGCCCAATAATTTAGATATAGGTTTTGTTAGAGAGAACTATAAAGGTATCTAGAACTTAAGCCATATGTCAAGCACATACATATCACTACGATCTTCAAAATACCTCAACAAGATATCAAGTAACCTAGCAATCCAGCTAAACAGTCAAATTTGAGTCTGGGGAAACTTACTGAGTTACAGATCTACCATAAAACTCTTACAAAAATAGTAAATTTAAGCATATCAAAAGCTGCAGCTTGATATAATCAGATAGTATTTTTTGTTTATATCGTTAAACAAAAATGAAATAAAAATATCAGTCAAAGATATATATATTAAAAACCCACACAAGAACAACTCTGAACATGAAAGTTTATAGTGCCAAAGATGGTGAAGGCAAAGACAAAAAGCAAAAGATAAAGTTTTACTTGTAATTGCTGAACGAGATGCACGGTCTTCGACTTCTATTGCAACCTGAACAAGCCCACCTTCTAACTGTGATATGCATGGTGGCACAGGAGCATCCTGTATGCACAGAATTTAATTCCACAAGTTACGATATTAATTAAAATAATGAACAGCATCACGCCATCACTATATACAAGAATCAAATATTCAACTAAGTTGAGAAAAGAATTCTATGCTTTACAGATCAATAAAATAAAAGATCAAACTCTGATTGCATAATGGCATAGGGGTGTCTTTTATGCAAAATTTCTATACCACAAGAATTAACTATATGCAAGAATAAAGCATTCAACCAAGTTTCCCTTCTCCTATGAATATATGCAAGAATAAATTATTCAACAAGTTGAGAAAAGGATTCTAAGTGCTTAATGATCAATCAGATAAATGATCAAATTGACAGCAGAAGTCATTCACAGGACTCAAGAGTGGGATATTTACTTGTATTGTTGTTACATGATGAACGTCACTCCTAGGGTAGGTTTTCCCTTAGTTTTAATCTCTTTTTAGTCCTCTTTGGCATGTTTTAGCTCTGTTTTACTCCTTAGTCTTGTTGATCCTTTTTGCATGAATAAATGCCCTTTTATGTAGAGTTTTCCTTTGCTTTCTTTTATGTGGTTTTTCTCCCTTTATCTTCCTTCCTTGGTGTCTTTTGCAGGTATTCAAGGAGTTTGCTTTGGAAAGGAATCAAGAGAACTAAGGAGAAGAAGCAAAGGCATCCTTGCACGCTTAGTTCATGATCAATTCAATTCAATTCTATCTTTATGCATGTTCAAGTGGATTCTATGTCTACCTATTCCCCTCAGCATTTGCTTATTAGACTTTTCCTCGTGTTTTCATCGCTTTGTAGCAAGGGCGGAGGTATTAGGGGGACTGGTGGAGATTTGCAGCCCATGTTTTTTAATGTTATGGCCCCTCTTAAATTATTACTTATCTTTTCAAAGACTCATTAGTTTCATCAAACAAGGCTTGCCATGTTGGTTGAGGAATGTTGCCTTGGCGTGAGTTGAGTTCGATTCCTATCATTGACATATTTTTTGTAATAAGGCTTTGCTATTCAACGTGGGCTTAGTGTTTTATAATAAAGCTTAATATATTCATTTTATTTAAATAAATTTGGCTATTTTTTTTAGTTGAATGGACCTTTAGGCTAATTACTTACATTCAACATGAAATATCAAACTTTTAGGGTTATATGCTATTCTATTCAATAACTATTGTTTTTGTATTGATATCATGAAATAAAAAATACTAGATTTTTTTTTTTTTTCTTTTATAAAAGAGTTAATAATGAACAACAAGAGAGTTAGACTTTTAAAGCAAATTTGAATCCCGAGAGCAATTTGAGTGATGATAATGAACCAAATACAAATTTTGCGGGGGAGAAAAGCTACTACTATGTACTTCAATTCCTGAAACTGATAACCCCAAAAGGTTTTTGTTTTATATACATAGAAAAGTAAGAAAACTCAATTAAGTTGCAAAATAAGGATGATTCGTTTAGAGATGTTTTGGTAGTATACATAGAAAAAGAGATTGCTGTAAATTTTAGTGTTGAATCTTTGATTGACGATTTTGCTACTATGAAAAATCGTAGAGTAAAATTTAACTATGTAGTAATTTTTTTTATAACATGAAATTTTAGTACATTTTAATACTTTCAAATATCTATTGTCTAACAAGTCCGGCACCCTGGCTTCGCCCCTGCTTTGTAGTGTTAGCTTAATCATTTCTCTCTGTTACGAACAAGCTTAATTGGTGGTAGCAATTGTAGTGTTTAATTGTTCTCCGTGGATCAACCCTTGACTTGCCACTAGACTCTTGTTTAGTGTTAGATTTAGGTATTATAAATTTGTGTTTGATTAAAGGTGTTTTAGAATTCAATGACCTAAAATATCCTTTGTCATTACATAATTGCTATATGTTGATATAGGCTCTATTTCAGCATGGTTGCATAATATAGTGCTCATATCTATGCAGATTATAAGCAGCCTATATCAGTAATTCAGTTATCAGAGCACTTGAATGGGGCAAAATTATGTGAAACGGACATTAATAGATCAGTAGGTAAGGAGTGTAGCTCTAAAGGATATCAAACTTCCTTTATATCACACTTATTACCTGTGGGTTTGTTTCAGCAGCAATAGTACTAAGAGCGCCATCAATTATGTATATGAAAGATGCATGCTCCAGCTCTTCTTCAGCTCTATAGCAAACAAAAAGGCCACAACCTAAACAATTCATTCGGTGCTGCTTTTCCAGCTTTCCTTCTCCTCTGATAGAACCAAATACACAATAAACAAACACATAAATACAAAATTAAGAAAAGAAAAGGAAGATTAAATTCTCAGAGTCAAAATGTTTAAAATAACACTCATTAATGTGGTGATGCAGATACAAAAGAAACCACTTCAGAGAATCAACTGCAATACTCAAATACAAGTCTTGAGCACTTCTGAACTTCAAGCAAGAAATTGGTCCTAGATTCTGATCTTCAGGCAAATTAGGAATAGTGCCTTGAAATCTCATTCCTAGTAAACATAATCACATCATCACTCAATGGCTTTAAAAAAAAGTTATACGGTTCTAATTAGGTGAGTTAAGACTGTAAAAAGGGATAGAGGTGTACAATCTTACAGTTACAACAACGGAGAGGTTGTTCGATTTCGACAAGGGTGTTAAATAGTCTCAATTGCAATAAGGATCACAAAATCATTTTCGAGGGCAATGCCCATCTTGATGCAATGACAGCTGAATAAATCACAACCGATGATCCAAAATGCAATTCTATCTCCTAAATCCTAGCATATAAGAATTAAGCAGTGCGTACCATTTAATGAGCCATTTTGAATTATTCCATAGTACTCTAATGAATCAAAGTAAGCTTGGTATAAAAAGGAAAGGCAATGTTAATCGCCATGGTTTTTCATTTAGAATGAAGAATTATTTTCACAGCTGATTTGAGCTATGAACCATATCCTTATCCATAATTCTACGAGGCCAAGATCCAGGAGAGGTGACAAGAATCACATTTCAAGGATGATGACTTATTAACATATGATATGAGTGCCTCTCTGTATATGATGGAACACACCAAAAGAAGACTCGATTGTACGTGTGAGACTCGATTGTACATGTGAAACACTCAGATTAAAAAACATAATACTTCCTGTCTCATATATTTTGCAATGCTTGCACTTGTCACGGAAATTAATAAAATATAACAAAAAAAATTTTAAAAAAAAAGTGTGGATAGTGATAGGAAAGTACGAGAGGGGTTGGAAAAAAATAAATCTGAGAGAGGTTACTTGAAAAGGCAAGACTGCAAGAGTGCTAAGCTTCATGTTTTGGGATGTGGATACCAGCTAGTTTAGTTGGTCAAAGTCTTGGGGCCTTGGGGGTGGTACCAAAGGCATAGGAACAAACACCCTACATCATTTTCCCTTCGTGGCTCTTTCAAAGTTTATCCATATACTTTTCTAAAAGGACCGTAAATTTTATGAGCATAATTGAGACTTAATATTATACAGGGTAAAGATCATACATTAACTCTTCTGCATAGGGTGTGATAAAAAAAAATCCACTGCCACAAAGCATATCATCAGTATATTTGTATAGCGCTACATTTATATTAATCAAATAATCACAAAGCTGGACTTCAGAGATTCAAAATACATGCAGCAACAATTACTAGCAGTCTAAAGGCTTCTAAGTTAGATCTGTTAAAATTGACTATGAGCAACTTGCATGCACACAGTGATCAATACTACACCCCAGATAATCACAGTTCAGGGAGCCAATAAATCACTTGATGGATCATCTTTTGGCAAATACTATTTGTAGAACATATCATGCATCAGAAAACTGATAATCATAGTACAATAGTAGACAAAATTTAAACAGTGAGTTTAATAACAACCAAAATTAAGGACGCAATAATTAAAAGAAAACTCAACGTAGCTGCAGAAAACATCATCTGTACCTTTTCAACAGAACCCTTCCTGCTTCATTGATGTTAAGCCTCGCCAAATGTTTCTTTTTGTCCAACACATATGCCTTGTCAGTTTTTCTCTTTGGCAATTTCTGCAACTGGGTATCTTATTGAAAAATATTTTAGTAATAGATTAAAATCTACACATTAGATAATCCAACAATGGACATAAAATCATTTAAAATTTTGCATAGCCTATTCCTACAATGTGAATTTGACCAAAGACAGTATCAAAACTGAAAGTTGAAGACTTGAAGCCAATACAACACTCTCATGCTTCTCTAAGTAGCAATGTCCCAGGTTTCAAAAAAAAAAAAAAAAAAAAAGTAGCAATGTCCCATAAATTACTAGTGATAACTGAGTTTAATACTCACTATATTCTAATAAGGTTCATTTAGGATTAAATTTCATGTATTTTAGGCCTTCTTAAACTCCTAATTGCAACTTTCCCCTCTTGTTGTGGTTTTGCTTGTTATATTGTAATTTGGAGGTGTTTCCCTGCATTATTGGTTTTCATAAGGAGACAACACAAGGAGGAATTTGTGGATGAGAGGCAATGCTGGGAGTATGAAAGGTCAAACGAATGAAGCTGGGGGAATGGAAAAAGGCCAACAATAATCCTTGTGTTGTTTCGCTGGAGACCCACCAGTTCTTTCTTTCTTTCTGACTCTCTTCTTTCTTTCTTTCTGTATGTAAGTCTTTTGTTTTCTTTTTTAATTGTTTTTATGTGTTGTTGATATTATAGTGAATTGTAGTGACATTAAATGAGAATGTCAGTAGGTAATTTCTTTTTTTTTTTTTTTTTTTTTACATTGTGCAGTTGAATGGAGTCTCAAAATGTTGGTAGTAGTACGGTAGTGGGTAGGTAATTTTTTTTTTTAATGGATTTATATTTTGCTGATTTTTTTTTTGCCGTACCCGTATTTTGAAAAAAAAAAAATTTGCCGTATCCCGTCCCCGTATCCGTACCCGTTTTTGTCCCCGTATCCGTATCAGTGCAACCTAGATGGTGGCAAGGGTAGTATAGGGAATTCCCTCAAAATTTGTTAGCATTTTGTTAGCATTACTACATGTAGATTCTAACGTCTAGGCTCAAGCTTTTCAATACTTGAGCAATATTGGCTCTTGGTCTAAAATACTGGATAAATTTTTAGTCATACCGATCACAATAATAATAGTAGACCCTGATTGAAGGGTCTTCAATTAAGATAATGGACATAACTTTGTCTATTGCAGAAAAAAGCAACACACAAAGGCATGTATTTTACACTGCCTCAAAGACGGTGGGGGATGTCTCAAAGATGAATGATGTGTTCAATTTGTCAGTCAACTATCCTTATCTCTCTCTAAACTAAGCACCATCCTGTGTAAAAAAAAATCGACAGTGTTCACTCAAAAAATCCTAATTTTTAAATTTCTGGACATGACTGCTAACAAATCAACCAGTTAAAACAACACAAAAATTCGGAATGTTGTATGTGATTTCAAATCTTGAACTATAATCACAGTGATTGAATTACTACCTTTGGAATTAGATTTGCGATTGAGGGGCTTTGAATTCCGAATTATAATGTCACGGGGAAATTTTCCGATCACACAATTGAAATGGGCATCTAACAACCTTGACGAAGAATTGGGAGTATATAATGTAGAGTTGGAAGAAGGTTTATAAAAGGATGTTGCTAACTAGCGCACGGGGCGTTAGATTACTACTTAAAACATTTCTTATAATAATATATATATTTTAAAATGCTAGCCAAAATCACGGGTAAACGTATCGATGTCATTAATTATATGTCTATAGACCATGTAAATAATGTTTATTTACATTATTTAATAACTCTACTTTTAGTCATCTTATCAAATTCCAATTTAATAACTCTGCTTTTAGTCATCTTATCAAATTCTAATGCCATGGGGAATTCGTTAGCCTTTGCCTTCATAAAAGTCAAGGTTCTAAGTAATAAAAAAAGGGAATATTAGAAAAAAGATTATTAGCAACGGTTTGAGAAGCAAGACTTTTACTCAAAATCAGCACATAAAAACCTGGGTGGACGTATCGATGTCATTAATTATATGTCTATAGACCATGATGAAGATTACCTAAGTCTGATTTCCATCAATTTGCATCATCTAAAATGCAATAACAACAAAGCTCTACTCTTAACATGAATCATCATGGCATATCACAGATTAAATTAAGTTTACTGATTACTTACCATATCATATATTAAATAAAGCATATCAAATATGCAATCATACAGTTAACCCTGCCTCCATGAATTATAACTTCAATTGATAATCACTAACTAACCATGCCAAATTGATGCAATCAATACCAATTACATGATACAACAACAAAGATGAGCATTCAATCACTAATTAGAAAGTGATACAAAGCAATAATAAAAATGAAATGGAAACCCTAAAAGAGAGAGATAAAGAGAGAGAACCAGTAATAAGGACATGAGAGCTGCAGTGCTTGCAGTAGTAGACGAAGAGCTCAGAGTTAGGGCCGTCAGGAACTGCATCTTCGCTCGAATAGGTGTGCGTTGTCCTCTTCGGCATCTTCTCTCTCTTCAATGGCGACACTGCTCCCGTGCTCCGGCAACTGTCGAGCGGTCACAGATTTTCTTTCTTTTCAGATTTACCGCTTGCAAATTTGGGGTTCCAATAGGAGTAACCGGGTCGGGTTCTGTAATCGATAGTAATGTCGGATCAAGTCGGGTTTATCACAGATTTTCTTTCTTTTCAGATTTACCGCTTGCAAATTTGGGGTTCCAATAGGAGTAACCGGGTCGGGTTCTGTAATCGATAGTAATGTCGGATCAAGTCGGGTTTATTTCAAAATTGAGTCATGCAAAAATGATAAACTTATAAGAATCAAAATTTGAATCAAGTTATTTTCGAGTTGGATCGAATCAGGTTGATCAAGTAAGTTGTAAACCGCAATTTCTAAGTTCAAACATACTCCCATAGTACCTAAAAAAACGTCATTTCTACCTCTCGATTTTACGCGCCGACTACACAAGGTTTTTCCTCTCACTTTCCCTCTACTTTCTCCTAGCTTCGTCGCGCGCACTACAGTTACTTCGTTATGAAATTTCTTCAATCCAATCATCAACTCTTCTTCATATCTCTTTTTGTCCAAAATTGAATATGATTTTATGAAACTTTCAAAAAAAAATTATAATTATGCTTGTTGTATTTGTATTGAATCTATTGTTGCTTATGATATCAAAAGTTAAAAAGAGGAGAGACTACGAAAAAAAAAAAGAAGAAGAAGAGTATGTGTTTGAGGATTAACACAATAAAAAAAAAAACACAAGGTTTAGGTAAAGGCAAAAGTTAATGAACATCTTGGAGGCGTTGGATAAGATAACTAAAAATAGAAAACTATACTTACTTTTTTTTTTTTTTGAGGAAAAACGAGCACAATATATTAGTGAAGATCAATATCCACCAAAGTTTGTAAGCTTTGGGGGAGAAATCTATACTTACTAGTATACTAAAGTAATCCCCAAAATAATTCTTAGATTACATGTGTCAACACCATATTAAAAATAATCCCTCCAAAAAAAAAATTCGTCATTTGTTTAATAAGAAAATAAATAATAATTTTATCAAGATTATAAATAAGATAGAAAATTAAAATTTTCACATACATAATCCAATTTTCAATTTGATCAAATTTTTTTAAAAAAAATGTCTGTTACATATTGATAATTCCAGATTTCCAGTTATTGACAGACTAAGTAAATCAATATACAAATTTTATTTTTCATGTTATGCATAAAAATAATCCAACTATGTATTAATTGAAAAATTCGAGCATAGCTTGGATATTAACTAGATTTAACTTAAAACAAACTTTAATTACACCAATCAATGCGTGATTTGGCATGCATTCCCAAATTAATACCATATTAAGTACTATTTTAAAGAGTTATCTAACGCCCGGGGGACGTTCGTTAGCAAGATCCTTAAGTAAAATAACATTATATATTAGCAAAATAGAATAAGTTTCACATGATTTCCTCAAAATAAAATAAGTTTCAATTCAAAATAACACAATATTTAAACTTTTTTCCGGCTATTTCACCAAATAATCTTGAGTTTTTCTGTAATACCCCGTATTTTTGAAACTTATTTTCTAATTAATTAATTAATTAGTATTTTTTAAAAGGGTATTCTAGTAATTTATTTTACTATTTGAATTTTTGAACCAAAATGATATTTAAATAATTTTGGCACCGACAACATTTTCAAAACTCAATTGTTATTTTGGATCTTTTTACAAGTGACAAGATAAAGTCATATCTCCTAATCAAAAGAATTACCTAAGACCTTGAACTAAAGCAGATAAGAAGGTAGGGTCGAATCCACAGGGAAACAAGTCTCTATTCCTAATTTATTAATATAATCTAAGCTATGGGAAAATACAAGTTAATCTGCATATAAACGAATTTTTGTTAATGAGATGGCATTTTTGTAAATATATTGAAAAAGCAGGTTCATTTATTCAGTACTTTTGGTGAGTTGTCCAATTACTGTTTGCCTTTTGCTTTTACTGTTTGGTGAGAAAATTACACATGTACCCCTCAACTAGTACATGAAAAGACGCATATACCCCTCCACTGCTACTTGAAAAGACAATTATACCCCCATATAAACAAATTTTGTTTATCTGGGAAATTGACGGGGTATTCCTCCTAAACTATTAAGTAGCCAAAATACTTTTAGCGGAATTAAACTAAAGGACCTAATTAAATTAACACGGTTAAGAATTATAATAATAACAACAAATCAAAACCTAGGGTATAGGTTCACCGATAAATAATATTCCAGGGTCACAATCAATTATCATTGCATCAATTAACCAGGTCATAAAATGCTTTCGCTACGTGTTACAATCACATAATTAATCTACCGGTATAAATCGCATCTTTCGAATCTTAACTTAACCATTTGTAAATTAATCTGCCTATTGAAACTAAGCAACATCAATTCTCATCTCTCGAATCTCAAATCAATTAGGGATGTCAATGGGGCCAGACAGGGCGGATGTTGGCCTTCTCATCCCACACTACTAAAAAAAAAAAGGTTTTGCGACCGCCTCTGACGGTCGTTGAAAATAGAAAAAACGATCGCTGAAAATAATTGCGACCGTCAACGGTCGTAACGTGATGGTCGTTATTGATTTGGACGCAAAAAAAAAAAAATTATTACGACCGGTTGACAGTCGCAATTTTTATTGCGACCGTTTTCATTACTTTCAACGACCGCATGTGAAACAATCGCAAATAATTATAATTGCGACCGTTCTTTGCAGCGGTTGCAAATATTAACAATAGCGACCGTTTTTGGCCGTCGCTAAAAATTTAACAAAATTAAAAAAAAAATAAATAAAAAAGTAAAAAACCGCACTCACTGCTAGAGTGTCAGTACATGTTGCAAGCCCCACCACCGCCACTTACCACCACCATCCACCATCACCGCCCACCCAAAACAACCCTTAATTTAAAAACATTTGAATTTATAAAATGACCCACAAAATCATAAAAAATTCACAAAATTAACAAAAATCAACGCAAAATTATAAAAAGAAAAATTAAGAAAGTATGAACAAAATCAATAAAACATGAACAAAATCGATGAAAATATGTACAAAATAACCGAAATTATGAACAAAATCAACAAAACATGAACAAAACCAACTTAAGTTTGAACAAAATTACCGAAATTAAGAACAAAATCAACGAAAATTCGAATTAGAATACAAAGTTCACGAAAATTCAAACAAAAACAACAAAAAACTCAAAATCAAACCCAAAATCAACATAATTCGAAAAAAAAACTCAAACATAAGAAACGAAATAAAACCACATACCTTTCCCAATATTTCTTCCTCTTTGGGTTTATATGGTCAAATTCGACGATAAAAACTCCATATCTGGAATTTTTATGGTCGAATTTGACCATTAAAACCACAATTATTCGTTTGCTGACGAAAATGCAAATACCCCAACTCATTTGTTGATGAAAATCCGAAGATTAAGAAAAAAAAATGAAGACCAAAAAGAGAATGAAAATGGAGGAAATGGTGCTCTGAACGCCGGCTAATGGAGTGTAGAGAAGTAAGAAGAAGGAGAACGGAAAGAGAAGAAGGAGAAAGGAAAGAAAAAAAGATCAAATGAAGGGAAAGAGAATCGTGAGAAAGGAAAGAGAAGGTGATAGAGGGGAAAGAAGAGAGAGAGAAAGAAAAGAGAAGAGAGAGAAGAAAAAGGGGGGATGAGCAGCACTAAGTGAATAAAAGATTAGGGTTTAGAAGAATGGGTTATCTTTTTATACACTATTTTGTTTTTCAAAAAAAAAATCCTTTTGCGACCGCTAAAACCGGTCGCAACTTACGACTGTTTCATGAACGGTTGTTGTTTACGACCGTTTTTAGCGATCGCAATAGCTATTTTTATTTTAGAATTATTTTTAGTTCTTAAACATCATTGCGATCGTATAAATGTCCAGATACGGTCGCAATGTTGGATTTCGATGAGTTCGACTCACCGTGGAAGAAAACCCGAGCCAAGACCACACTCAAAATTAATATAATCACCAAGCATAAATAACTTACACAACAAGAATTAAGTAAAAGATTAATACGTTTGACGCGTGCTTCACTTACTACAAGAGCTCTTACTTCAAAAGCTCTAAGTCTCGCTCACACGAAGACCTCCAAAGAAAGTCCACCCGCAACTCGACCCCGACAATGGTCCAATGCTTAGAGGTTAGCTAAGCCCGACCTAAACCTGAGTAATTATATGAGTTTAAAGGTTTTCTCAATAAAGATGCCTTTTTTAACACCTTAATCAAGTGATTTTCCCAATACCCCAACTTGGGTATTTATAGGGAAAAACATGAGTGAGATTTGCTCTTCCATCAATGTGGGAGAATTGATTATTCCTTTTATTTTTAAATCAAAATAAAATTAATTATCAAGCTACTAATAAATCAACAAGTGGCACATTTAGGAGAAGAGTTAGGTGAGGACCACAAGGAGGGGAGGGGACCAAACTTGATCCCCAAGGAGTCCCATTTGGTCGGCCACCTACCATCTCCCATGACCAATCACCGGCTGCCACGTGGCACCCCAAGAGGAGCACCAAGGCAGCCGGTTTTGGGCTGCTAACACGGCCCAACAGCTGCGGCCAAGGCGCGGCTTACGGCTGCAGCCTCGACCCAGGTAGCTGGCCTTGGTGCGGCTGTTGTCCTTGGCTGGCTATCGTGGCTAGCACCATGCTAGCCGTTGTGTGCTAGCATGCACTAGCCAGCCTAGGCTAGGCTTGGGTTCATTTACTAGCCACCTCGGCTTTTACCAAATGCCCCTAGGCATCGGTTTGCTCGGGGAATTCCGATCCTAGGGGTATTTCGGTAGTTTGTTGATTTATTAGTAATTTTACTGTCTCGTCCTTTACTATTTTGACTTGACTTCTGACGCTCGGATTCGACGCTCCAAGCTCGAATTTCCGACGTCTAAATATTAATTACTCAGGTGACTCATTTATTCCTTCCGAATTAATTCGTCGCGTCGGTTCGTTAGTTGATTGGGTGTGACCCAAAGGGTTCAGTCAAGATTAAGATGTAATATTAATTATACATTAATATT